TGAGATAAACTTTTCGGAAAATTCCACTATGTACAATCGAATCATTCGTTGACGTCGGGTCGACCAGATAATTTTAAAGAGGGGACTTCTCATCGAACGCTGCTCGTCTTCGCCGCGGGCGCCTGCGCGGCGAGACGAGCGACGACTCCACTAATGGGCTGGGGATCCGCAAAATCGTAGTATCCCGAGAATGGACCGCTCAAGATAGTAGAGCACCGCGAAGGAGGATTTCCAGTTCCCTGGGATCGTGGTCGTATTTCGATCATTGTATTCCTCGCTGAACCATGTTGTTTCATCGTGGTATTGGTAGACCCTCCACTCGGAGCTTACCTTCACGGAGCTCTTGTTTGCAATGTTGATTGGTTGCACACTGGAAAGGTCACGGATATTTGTTTTCGTCATCCGCTCTGGATATGCCTACGTCCCTATCGATAGTTCCGCATTATTATTGGAGTACCTACACTTCTTCCTCCTCGGTGGCCTGGATATCCCTCGCGATACGGAAATTCCCAGGACCCGATGCCTCAAGTGTACAATCCGCGTTCGAAACTTTTGTCCAGGGCGTGGGACGGCTAATCTGGAAGTCGAGCTCTATGAACGTCGAGAGCTGCCAGAACCTCCGTCCTCACTCCTGGATAAGTCGACCGAGACCCTTAGCGGACTTCCGAAGGTCCCGGTTATACTCAAGGGTGGAGAAGGGCCGAAAGTACAGCTCGGATCGGAACTCGAGAATCTCAGCCCGGTAATCGATTGCATGCTTGACGAATATCGTCGCAGAAATCCGAAAGGGAGTGCCGAGTCCACTCGGCTGAAGCGTTTTCATTCAAAATATGTCAAACACATCAGGATCTGCATCTGATAACCCGCGTTAGAAGGCATGCCGTCTCATGCAAGTTGCGGCTCGCCCGAACAACAACATTGAGCTAAGAGGCTTTTAATTTGATTGCAGGCAAGTGCAAGAGACTGCGAACGGGAATGCTTTCAGCTACTGCGGGGGCAGGAACAGCCTGGCCAGTAGGGCTCTTCCGCCACTTGCTGGCTCGTGGGCCCTTGGGAGGCTGAGCGTAGAGGCGAGCGGAAGAACAGGCGGGCGGGCACACTGTTCCCGATAGCGTCCACAGCTGTCATGGGCCGAGCGGGCGCTCAGAACCACGACCGGTAGGTAGTCGTTCGGCAGGAAAGCGGTCGCACAGGCGGTTGGGTAGCCCCATCGACTCGGATACATGATATTGGAACAGAATGCGCTCGTTTAGAAACTTGCAGGTGGCCTCCCACGCTACCGCCATGACCTTTTTGCATCGTCCACAACAAGCCATCAAAAAAGGGAAAGGGAAACTAATTCCGGGAGGGAATTTAGAATCTAGAAATCAGGAGTGAACAAATCGCGATAACCGTTGTGAGATCAAAATCTCGAGCTTGCTCGAACCGTCTCTCTCGACCTCGTACGTGACGCCGTGCCGTTCCCCTCTCGAGTCTATCCGGTCGCCGTCGCTTTCTCTACCGTTCGGGATGTTGGAGCCATCTCGTCAGTCTCGGATGAAAGGCGAATGCACAGGAGTGAATGACCTTGAGAAGGGAGAGCTCGCCGGGAAAATTCAGCGACTTGGCGTTGCTATCTCGACGTCTCGTGGATTCCGTATTCCCTTGACTCCCTGCGTTTCGCAGAGACAACAAACGGACTGCGATAGGCAAAGCACATTGTGCTCTCGTGCTGTTGCTGAATATCCGGATGCAGGAGTCGCCAGCCAGCCTATTCTCGCATCGAGAAGCGGGCGCGTGCCCGTCGGAGGCGATCCGTCTTGCTTTACATATTTATCTGTTACCCGCATCTCGATCGAAGGAGCACAAAGGATGACATCGCTCGCCGCCAGGGCGATGCTCACTCTCGTCTCTCCGCAATAACAAACAAAATGGAAAACTACAACAACAAGTGCCAATATGGAGCGAACGGAAGAGGACGGACCAAGCGAAAGAAACGCCGAACGTGGGGGAGGCTGAGAGAACGGTACGATTCATGGCCGAGGGAGGAGCTGACTCCAGAGTCGCGGCTGATTTCAGTATTGGCCGGAAATTGGTTTCGTCGAGGCAAGAGAAAGAGCCAGCCGAACAATTCTCCTGCCGGCTCCTGCCGTGCCCGGACGACCTTGCTTTTCACTCGCTGTACACTACAACGGAAGGACGATTGCAGAGGAGCAAAGCAGCACCGAGCTTTTGCCTGGCTGGCTCCAGACTTCGTTGCCGACGTGAGGAATTCAAGGAAGCGGAATCGCTTCGAGACGCTCGGAGGGTCGATGCAATTTGTCGACCACGACCGCGACGAAACAACAGCTCCGCGACCGTGATGCCTTGTTGACAAAGTCCGACGCTACTCCTATTCAAAGGAATCGCTCTCGGCCAACAGCGCAGCGTCACCGGTCCCTACTGCGAGCTTCTCGTTCTGATTGAAAGAGCGCTTATACGAATGTTGTAGCTCCAGGTTCACGGGTCCGCCGGCCGGGCGGCGTTCTGAAGAGATCTTCAGCAAGGAATCCGGTCGAGCACGGTTGAACTCGGGAGCAGCCAGACAGGAGGAGGACAAATACACGAAAGGAAAAATGGTCTAACAAGACAAATCCTCTTAGAGGCAACGGCCGAGAGCGGTCTGAGGGAGCGCGAGCCAACGAGCAGCAGCGTCGGACTTCCCGCGGCGGAAACTACTTTCGTCATTTGCGTCTTTTGATTTCCTCGTCTCAGCTTGCCGTTTCCTCCATCGTTTCCTCATTGCACCGTCAGGATCTCGCTCGGTCAGTGCATCCATTACCGCCGCATAGCCCGTGGGCAACAGCGCCGGAATATAACATGCAGAATAGCACTGACCACATCGGCGGCGTCTCACCGAACTTCGCGGTTTTTAATGATGTAGCTCCATCGGCTCCTGCTTCTACATACGTACACCGCGCAGGCTCATGGTTCCGACGCTTTTCGGCCGAAAGCAAAAGCAGGTTTTCCGGGAGATCACCGACGAACTTCCGGCAGCTTACTCTTTTGGCCGCGGGGCCGTGGGGACTCCACCGGAGGGACTGCAGGGCGATCGGGGAAATCCCAGAGGTCCCCGGAACCGACCTACTTTTCATTGGAAAAACGGGGCCCTCGAAAGTTCTCTCCACGATTCCTTGGAATATCGAAATCGGTCTCATTAGGAAGACCGGTCAGCAGGCGTTCCGCATCGAGGCACACCGAAGCATTGGGACGTTCGGCATAAGAGACCGAAACCGAAGAGAACGAATGGAGGCGTAGAGGATTATTAATGTAAATATTGCTAGAGTAGATGGAGACTGTTGTCTCGGGGATGGGAGCATCCATCGAATCAGCCCACGCCAGTTCGGGCTGTCGTTCCTCTCGAGATCGATGGATTCGGAAGTGGCCTCCCTTTCACTTCTACCGCCTGGAGCCCGCTACTCTTCTCTCATCGCCGCGCTCGCAGCCAGTGTCGTTCGGATTTTTTGGCTGCTTGCCCTCACGACATTCACCTACGAACGATGACCGGATACTTTCCCCGCTCACCTGACAGTTTGGAGCAGGGAAAAACTCCCGGAGCAGCGAGGGCAGAAGAGGACGGGAAATTCTAAAAGCGGACGCTCTCTTGTAGGATATCTATCACCGACATTTTTGTATTTGGGATGAATTAGCAGAGGGAAAGGATTGTACCGTCCCCAGCGTTGTCCAGCTGTGCCGTTGCCTATGCTGCGCAGTCGCGTCTGTTAGCCGCATTATTCTGGCCTCCAGTGCCTCGAGAACGACGGGGCCCTGTCGCGATAACGATTCGCGTGCTCTGTCGTGTGAGCTCTACGAGAATGACATTTCGTGCCGTATCAGATATCGGTGCGCTTCGAGTTTCAAAGCGAGCGCTTGACAGAGAGCCGAGGGAGACTAAACCACTCGGGAACGAAATGGCGCACTTGGCCATCTAATCAACTTGAAACGATAAACAGCTCTAGGCTGCCCCCTTGTGCTCGCCGCGTGCTCTGCGCTCTCAACACGCTAGCCATGCTCAGAGCTCCGGTCAGCGGCGTTGCACGCATTCTTATCGTATTCGCCTTTGGGCGGTTGCGCACTCGCCGCCGTGCAGTCGTAGGCTCCCATGGAGCTGCTGGCTGCCGTACCGACAAGCGCCTGAGCGGACGGCGACCGACGTCAGCAGCGGTGGGAGTGCCGCGCGCCCCACAACAAGCAGATCTTGTAGCTGCTGGTTGCCGCCGACAAACTCTCCGCCAACAAGGAACCGATGGCGGGAAGCTGGTTACCGTGCGTGGGTTGAGAACACTTGGCCGCAGGCGACGTTTTATCCCGAGCAACGAACGACAAGACTGGCTCGGTCCGCCACCTCTCCCCTGGCAAGCCGCAGCTTCAATGATATATTTTCACACTGGAGGAGAAGAGACTCTACGCCCAAATTGCTTTGCACTCAGCTTCAAGCAATCGCTGCCCCGAGCTGGATTTCGTCATTTCCCCCCGCGGCTCCCCTCACTCACTCGGAGTTAGCTCTCCAGTTGGTACTGTGTGTACCCGCTGAGAGTTTTGAGCGTGCGATGAAGTCGTCGTCGTTCCGACAAAATTTATTCTCCTGGCTCCTCCCAGAATCATTAAGACCAGAATGCGCGTATCGTCCGGCATTAGGCCTAATCCGAGAAAAAATTATTTCTTGCCCCACGGAAAGCCATCGAAGCCGACTTAGTCGACCGAAACCGCGGCGACGGCGGCTCGATTCAGCTCCTGCTGCTTTTCTGTGAGGCAACGAGGAACCTGTACTTCGAGAGGTATTTCAAGGGAAAAACGGACTGAAAGTCTCATTTCGGAAGCAACAGGAGAACGGGGGCGGAATCTCTCGAGAGACCTGGGCCGGCGTCGCGGGGCTTTTCAGCTCGAGATCGTTATTCGTTCTCCCCGAGAGGCTCGGAGAAGGAATAAAGAGGAGGCTAAATCTCTACCGGACGAGATGCGCGAAGAGGGATCAGGATAACGGCAACGACAACAACAACGACAGCATCGACGACAGCATCGACGACATTGACGACGCTGACAACAACGACAACAACAACGAAAAGAACAACAAGACAAGCAGAATAACAAGTGCATGGTATAATGCGGCGGAAGCAGAGGACACAGGGGAAGGGCCCAGCAGACCCCCCTCCCGGTATACTATTCTATCGGAGGGCAAGTCTCGCTGCTCGGGAGATCCGCTCGGACTCGCTCGTCTTCCGTCCGACGGCTGACTTTGATCAGTCGGCGGAGTCAAGTGAATGGAACGACGGAAGGGAAAAAATCTACGAGAGAAACAAAGAGACTCTGCCGGAGTCATCTCGCTAGACTTGGGCCGAGGATCGTCGGCGAGTCAACGTCGGCGCCGCACTCAGTATTGCTTAGGCAAGGAAGCGAAGACAAAGGAACGACCGACTCAGTCTTTCCACGGCGAAAGTCACCGAGCAGAGAGCGGACTGTCGACTCAGCCAACGAAAGGGTGGACGGACGAACGGACAGACGAACGAGCCCACCGTTGTACGAATGTGAAAACAAAGAGACAAATCTACGGAAAAACAGCGACGAGCAACTGATTGACTCCGAACGGAGGGAATCCGCTTCTGTCCCACGTCCGTCGTTCCCTCGTGCTCCGATCGAGCCGGATCCGTGTTGATAGAGAAACATAGTACCTACCCACGCTCGAGAAAGGTGAATTTCGCTTGTGCGAGTCTCTCTGAGTGAGTAGCAGAGAATGGAAGCATCTCATGATTATAATTCTCCGTGCTTTCCTCTTTTCGTCCGTCTTCCCAGCCGATGCTGAAGCAGAATATTTCTCCCGGCGAGGGCTGCGATCGAGACGCCCGAAATGCAACAGCTCCGGGCATCGGATCTGAAAAAAAACCGAGTGCTTTTTTCTCCACCGCTGAATAACACGGTCCGGAAACACGCGCACGTCGCAAGCCTCCCAAGAAGTCAGATAACCACACGCCGTCCTCACACTTTCGAACACACGAGCTCCGTTGTCGATGATGCGTTAACATTCGAATGCACGCTATCCGGACCCACCGCCCGATCGTTCGCTCGCTCATTGTTTCGTGGAGGAACGCGCGGCGGCCGGCTCGCGCCCAGCTCGGCGGATGGGCGCCTTATCGGAGCGATAAGTCGCAGTTTCGTTACGGATTCCGTCCGTTGTAAACGCCTCGCGGGAAGGGCAGCGGGTCAGCTCGCCGTCCGCTCAACTAGTTTCGCGCATTCTCAATCTCGGCAATTAACTCCTTATCATTCATCCGCCGCCAATAAAACAGACTTCCCCTTATATCTAGTTTCCTTCCCGAAACATTCTCCCCTGGCGCTCCGAGACCGGCAAAGGCAGTCTTCCTCTTTGTCGGACATCAGTCCGGTCAGTCCGTTGGGCGGTTGCGCCGTACTGGCCCGAGTGAGTGAGAGCATCGGCGACGCCGGCGTCGTCGACGTCGTCAACACCGACGACACCGTCGACACAACGACAACAGCAGCAGCAACAGTGGGAGCTCTGTTATAGCTTGAGCAAACGCTGCTTTCTCGCGAAAGATGTTGCTTTTGTCACCCGGATAGAATCACGTCGACTGCCTGGAGAACTAGGTCGTCGGATCTATCGGATGATAAGCGCTTGAACGTTTTCTCTTCTTGAATCGCCGCGCCGCTCTGCTTGCTCTCCCAGTCGGATCGCGGCTTAGATATGTATATTACTCACGAGGAGCGCTCGGCTCGTTGCCCTCGGTTCGTTCCTGAGAGGAATGTCCCCAGTTCGAGATCACGAGTCGGATCACGAAAATGACCGAAAGTATTCCCTGTTGTCCATCCGTCCGTCCGAATCCTTGCTCCCTCGATGACCTACATCCCAAAGGGGAATTACTTCCGATTCCATCGCTCACCCGTCTTTTTCGATGCCGCTCCACCTATGCATTCAGATTTTTCTTCGGGAGATTCTCCTTCATCGAGTGGTAGCTGCGACTGACGTGAGCATTTGACGAGGATTCGTGTTCCTGCCATGGCATGTCGCTTAAGCTAAGAATGGGAGGTGGTAGGGGCGGAGACGTCGAACCGTCGAGGTATCAGATCCAAAAACCGATCCGGTCGCCCACATAGCCGAAGAACACATCGCCGTCGACAGCGCCCGACAGGACCACTGTGGGAAGAAAGGGAACACGGTAGTAGAGAATCCGGGAGAACGAGCGGATGGCGGTGGCGAATCGCGGCGCCTTCATCCCGATATCGTATTCCTCGCTCAAGCTCATGATTTAATTTGGATACGATCGGCTTCGATCGGTTCGGCGTCGTCTCGAGTTCGCATGGAGCCCCCGGTCCTGAAAGAGAACAATAGCCACGGAGAGAGAATAATCACTGGGATGATCGAAGGCGTATTCCTAAAAGATGAGGGCAATAACACGCGGAGTGTTCCTCGGAAGGATAATCGAATTATTCATCCTCCGAGTATCTGGAATTCCGATTCCCCGAAACGATTGCGGCCTTGTCACGGACGTCGAATGCATCATCGGCGGAGAAAAGGAACGAACTCCAATCACTCAGAGTATAGATGTTCCGTGACTGACACGGAATGTCAAAGGAACGCTAGAATAAGGGAATCGAGTCGCATTCGGCAAACGTATGAACGCATCCCTATCCATTCCTACTCGTACTGGACAAGCAAAAGCCCGACCTGAGCCTCATGCACGCGAAAGGCGGATCTCCAGGCAACGGGCCACGCAGGATGAGAGCCGAAGAATGGATCCAGCTTCGCAGATAGATAAATCACTGAGGAGACCACGAACGGCGTGTGTGGGGCTCGAATGTGGCACCGGGGCTTTCTTGAGAAACCAGAGGGCCGCTCGTTGGCGAGCTTCGCCCAAGAAACGAGTCCGGGGGCCGAAAAAGAGTGAAAGGGCTCCGACCGAGGGTGTGGCCGGCCGGCCGGCCGGCCGGCTAGCTGAAGTTGTCTGAGTGAGAGACCGGCGGCAGCGTGAGCTCGTTTGACCGTCGTCGCCCGCTTCGTAAGTCAGCTCACTCAGTCACTTGCTCACTTGCGGACTCCTGTCTCGAAACCTTCGTCTGTCCATACGCACGAGGGTCGGTCTTTCCGTGGGACGGACAGACGGCCGCTCGCTCGCTTGATGGTCACTCGATGGTGAATCTAATGTAAGACCCTATCGGGAGCAATAGAAGGAAAAAAGAGCCCACGCAGAGTATGTACATCCCCGACTAGCCCCGTTGTTGGAGGAACGAGTGGACGGCTGGCCGGCCGAACGATCGCATGAGCCGAAGCGGCAGCAACGGCAGAAGGTTGGTCGGAGCTCGCGTGGAGAGATGGCGTTCCTTTTCCTTAGTCCCTACCGTTGTCCTTCCTTTGATTGCCGGACCCTCCCGCTGCTCAGCGCGGCATTAGCGGCACCGGGCAGGGGCGTAGGACGGCCGACCCGCCGGCCGGCCGGCAAACGGCGTATAAGCGAGGAAAAGGGATAACTCAGGATGTCGCTCCCCCACGCCCGAGAAGCCTCGAGTCTTAACTTGTCTTCCTTCCTCGAACAACCGGCGGCCGACCCAAAGATCCCGTCCGCGTTGTCTTGCAGCTCAATTCGCCAGGACGACACGCGTGTGGAGGTGGGCCGCTTCCAGCGAGGCCCCCCGGTCTTCTCGGGGGGTGTTTGTGGTGGGAGCTCTGGCAGTGCTACTGCTGCTCCGACAACTGACTGACTGAGTGAGTAAGTGGGGGTGGTCTGACGCGAACCAGTGGAGCAGGCGAACAGCCAGCCAGCCAAGCAGACAGGTCGCTGTCTCTTACGCTTATTTCTCCGTTGTCTCACGTTGTCGTTCAGCAGCCTTCGGATGAACTCGCTAACAGAACGTGAAATAGCATCAGGATCTCTTTCTTCTCGAACGGAAGAAAACGAAAGAAAGATGACACCGGTTCCTCCGTCGCTCGCTCGGCCGGGCCATGGCGGCGGCGGCGGCGGTGGTGGTGCTTGCCTGGCCGGTCCGCGCCTCCGTCCGTCCGTCCCTCCGCCCTTCGTCAGCCAGCCGTGTCGTTGCCAGGCGGCTCTGCAGCCGACTTGCTCGCCCTCGTCCCTTGCCGGTGCCGAGCGGCTCGAGCGGCTTGGACGGACGTAAGGAGGCTGAAAAACAGTTGAATCCCGAGAGTCTTTGACGGAATTCTCAAGATACCCAGCTCGTTTTCGAGAGTGGGGGAGGGGCGAGGTAGCTCATTCGAAAACGTTGATGAGTCTTTGATATTTATTCAGTGGTGAATCTTTGATTCGGATCCCGAACTGAATGGAAGAATGTTCCTCTGGAGCTTCCCGTAGATTTTTTATCGGAAACGATGAAAATCTCGCTCCTACCACGGTAGCCTCTGCGAGAACACGCAACAGCTACTTCGGCGGGGCGCCGCGACGCAATACGATGAGCAGGTCGAGTTCCTCATCTCGTCGTCAGACCTCGCATCGGCCAGCCCTCGCATCGACAAGCCCTCGCGAAGGGCTCGAGCTACGCCAAAACCGGTTGCTTTTGAAGGTTTTCGCTGTCCGCCTCTCGTTTACTTTCATTTCCTCTTCAGCGTCTTGTCGGTCCCTCGAAAACTCACTCAGAACAGTAAATCAAATTGGATGGAGAGAAGCTAATTCTAAAGTTTGATGACGAAACAGACAAAGGTAGCTCGCTCGTCGGTCAGAAACCCCGCTAGCTGTGTGCTGAACTGAATTAGGGGCGTGTAGGAGCAGCATGAGCCCACAGCAGGGGCACGTGGGGAACAATAAAGGTTGAAGGAGGTTGGCTGGCTGGCTGGCAGCAAGAAGGGCAGCGGAGCCACAATGAAACTTGCCACTCAGGGCTTGATTAGGTAGGTAGCTCAATCCGAAAGCGCGGCGGAAGCGGCGGTGCTAGTTCCCCGACTGCCGGCCGAGAGCCTACGTATGTCTCCGGGTTTCTGCACTGATCAGCGAATCGACGTGTTGCTGCATAGCCATCGACTCCTGTCGCGGATGCGGCCGACTGCGAGGAGCGCAAAGACGTTTCAACGATTCGTTCCCCCCTCGGTTCCTCTGCGAGCTCCGGCCCTCTCGTTATCTCACAT